CGTTGTAGTCGTAAAGAAACCAGATAGACATATCTGTATGTGTGTCAATTTTCAGGCATCAAACCAGGCTGTGGTGATCGAGTCATTTCGAGAGTAGCGTCTCACTTTTCAAAGTTAGACCTGGCGTCTGCCTACCACCTAGTTCGGCTTGAACCTGCGAGTTGCGACTTGACTGCGTTTCCCAGGCGAAAATCAGCCCACCTCCAGCTGGATTATGGAACTGGTCCCAGATAGAAATGAGGCATTCCAGCTGGATTCCAGCTGGGACCAGTTCCATAATCCAGCTGGAAGTGGACCGATTTTCGCCTGGAAAAAGTCCTTCATGGCCGGGTGATAATTATCACCCATGAAAGACTTTTTCGGCTTAAAGGGGTCTGTTTCGGATTGACGACTGGACCTGCAGCGTTTCAGAAGATTATAACCAGGGTTTGGAAGGGTGTACAGGTGTCAAGTTTTACCTATAGACTCAATATATGGGAAACCTCAGAAAGACAACGAAAATCTCCGTGGTGTCTCGTATATCCCAGGCGGGAATTAAGTTGAACCGCAAGGCAGTGTTCAATGTCCAGGAGCTCTCGTTTTTGGGGCATCGACTGTCCATGAAAAGAATACTCCAACAGATTCATCATAGCTAGCTAAAAGTATTCCTGGGACTCATAGAATATTATAGTAAGTTCATCCCCCACTGCTCTACAGTTGTGAGCCCCTTCGGCGACTACTTGTCGGTAAGGAAGTTTCGTTTGTCTGGTCGCCGGAGGCTAGTTTCAGGAAAATCAAGCAATGCATTAACAATGCCCCTATTCTGACACTGTTCGATTCAGTCCTGCCGATTTTCATAATGACAGATGCCTCTAACTACGGTTTAGGCGCTGTCTTACAGCAACAACATGGTAATAAGCTTCGTTCTGTAGTGTTCACTTCAGACTCACTCACAGATGCCGAGTGCCAGTGCTTTAGGGGAGAGAAAGAGGAATTAGCACGCCTCTGGGTGTGCAAAAAATGGCATATTTTTCTTTGGGGCCGTCTTTTTGTTATATGGACGTATCACCAAGCACTGATTACCCTCCTCTCCAACAAGGGTTCTGGAATCCGACCGTTGCTTATCATGCATTGGACTTTATGCTTGTTAAACTACAATTTTAAAATGGAATATCTCAGAGGAAGCAATACTCTGGTAGCCGACGCATTTTCAAGGCTTCCTGTGCAAGACACAGAGGACGGCACAACGTCTGAAGATGACGTGGTCCCTCTTATTACGGTTCTTTCAACCCAAGTGAATTTTCAAGTGGCTATATGGCAAACGACATGCAGTAATTCATCATACAATGTCGTCCTGGCTCGAAGGTATCTAACCGGAGCTGAGGCCATACTTCCTTGTCTAAGAACAACTATCTGTATTCGCGACTCCAGCGACCTATAGGGGGCGCCACCACTAAACAAACATGGCGGCTGAGTCCAGGTCGCGTCGGCTCGGCCGGGCCGCCTGAGTAGGTGGCGCTTTCAATTTAACAGATTTTCTTTTGTTTAATGCCCAATTTTATAGGTATTTTAACTGATACGGTTAAGTGTAGCCGGTGCACATAAACTTGCAGAGCATAGTTTTGTTTTCCAAGTGTGTTTCTTGTTCTTTTCATGTCAAACTTTCGTTTCGGAGATTTCGTTCGAAACCAAAACTATGGGCTCTGGAGAGACGGTAATATACTAATCAGTTTTGACCATGTAAGGAAAGCGGCAATGACTGCAGAATTCTCCCACCAACAGTAATTTTCAGCCAACTCGCACGCCTCGACCATGCGACTTATCTGTCCGCGAACTCGAGCTTTTGTGCGTATCCGCGTTTAAGAAACAGCTTCAGTCGTCTGCTCGGTCAACAACACAGGCCGTAGGAAAATTACGAAAATTAAGCAAGCGCTTCTTGAGCCAAGGAGCATGTTAACCCGCTGGCGCCCCACTAAGCAGCTGATACTCGTATTTCAATTCACGTTTTAGTAGCAATCGAGAAGTCATTTTGTTGAGCGGGTTATGTATTATATTACGTACTATGTCCCACTAAAGCGATATTAGTATATTCTTCGGTTTGAAATATGAGCTTAGTTAATTAGCTATTAGGTGAACTGCTCAATAAAAGTATATTTGACAGACAGAGATACTAAGTTAAACGTAGCGAAATGGTTCTAGCCGGTAGCACGGAGACGAATGCGGACAAACTGAAGAGAGTCTTCATTGGAGATTCACGCAAAACCTCTCTGCATTGAACTTGACTTTGAGTCCTGGATGGAGAAAATTAGTATTTTTTGTGGCCGGTCAACCTGAGCCATGTAGACGTATACTGCAGCTGGCTTAATTCGACGGGGGTATAATATAAATATTGGAGGCGCGATAGATCATAATGCTGTGACAGCTTCTAACGTTGCGAGACACGCCTCCGCCTTTGGAAAACAGATAATTTCCCTCATTCATCATTTGCAGCGAGCAGGTTTTCCTGAATCAAGTACTTGCGAAATAAGCCCAACTCCTTTACCGCTCATTCACACTGGAAGCGGATCCGCGTTCGCAAAGCGGTTGCAAACGCGGTTGTATAAAGATCCAGAGCAATTGCACGCGCACTTGATGTCATCGAGTGCGCGTGCAATTGTACTGGATCTTTATACAACCGCGTTCGCAACCGCTTTGCGAACGCGGATCCGCTTCCAGTGTGAATGAGCGGTTAGAGTGGTCCAGATGCTTTTTCGGCGAAAAGCAGCCAAGATGAATAGCCAATGCACCGACCGGCGTGTGTGGCTCAAACTTGAAGCTAATCGAACACAACCAAACTCAAGAAAAGCAGCTGTCTAACCTTCCCATTCACTTGGCTGCAACATTGGTGTTCCCTCCAGCGAAATGCCTCGTCTGTCGTCCTCCCACTGTTCTACGTCCTTATAAAGAAACGCCTTATCAGTTACCAAGTAGTCGTCACTTTGAATGTGATTCGAGACAGACAACAAATCAAAACGTTTTTCCGCGATTCCTCCCCATCCAAGAAATCGAAAACACGTGATGGAAGGAAATAATCTACCGAGGCTTCGCCACACTAATGAACACTCAGGCAAACTTAAGAAATTTTCGGACCTTCGTGAAATTACACTGTTCGCCATCGCGCCGACAACACGTGTCCGCGAAAGCCACCAGAGACGCGGAGGGGCGCGGAGCGACCTGGACCGGCTGGTTTCCGGTTTTCCCGCTTGGTGGCGTCCGTTTTGCTAAAGTCGTGAATATGCTGACCTGCTTTTAGAGCGCAGCTTTTAGGTGCCCGTTTGCAGCTTGAGCGGCGGCGGCGCCGTCGGCATAACCGCGCACTGCATTCTGGGAAACATCCCATAATGCACCGCGCGTGTCTTACACGTGACCCGCGCATTGCGTTATGGGATGGTTCCCCTAATGGGCACTGCATGGGAAGGAGGAGGAGGAAGGAGGAGGAGCAGGAGGATGGTGGGGAGGAGGATGAGGAAAAGAGGCGAGAGGGAGGAGACGGTACAGATAAGGAGGAGGGGCATACCCTCCCCTCTGTACCCTCCCTTCCTCCTCCTCAAGAGCTGCGCTCTAATTCGGCGTTACTGGGAGTTGTAAACGTCTTTCATCTTTCAAGGAGAAAAGATTGTGGTGGCGGAGACATTACGTGAGCATGTCGTTCAATTAGCTCATGAGACACATCAAGGGGTGACAAGAACAACGAGTGTCATCAGGGATTAGTATACCGGTGGCCTCGCATGAACCAACTAGTAAAGTTCAAGGTAGAGCATTGTACGGTCTTCCATTCAACGGACAAGCCCGTGAAGGCATCCCTGCTCCCCTGCAACGCAGCAGACGACAGAGGTGGTGCGGTACAAAGGAGTGGGATGAGAAAAGGGGCAGATCCTCTTCCCCGTGTGCTCGTCGATCGTCCGACGATTCGACAACTACTCGGCTCTGGGGTGCTTGAATGTTGTCATGGTAACTTAGCTGCGCCTGCTTGCGTATGCAACGTGGTAGCAAGAGGAAAGACGATGGGAGGGGCGTACCAAGTACTCCCATTATTCGTCGCGTGATGCGCGTGGGCTTTTAGGATTTTTGCAAAGGGTCTATTTCTGCCAGGACAAGCTGTTTGGATATTACAATTCCGCGCAAGTCACATAAGCAGATATTCAAGACCACAAATCATCCAAGCTCATATTGGACCATCCACCTACCAGTTTGCGGATGGTCAACGGTGGAATGGCGAAGTTAACCAAAACTTCAGTTCCGTACCTGAAGAAGAATGCGTTGCTTTTGACTCCGATGAGGACTTCCCTGTTCTTCAGCCGTCGAACGGAGCGAATCATCCTGTGGCACAGCACTACTTAAATGTACCAGCGTGTACTCCAACTATTCCTTCTCCGTTCCTGCCCCTGCGATGGCAAGGCCATATCACTTGCAGTTTTCAACTCTCTTCCTGACTGTGGGTCAGCTCCTGATCTCTTATTCCTGCCGCCAAATCTGTTCCTGGTCCTGTCGACACCACCGCCCGTGGACCGTTTTCTGAATCTGGAAGTGCACCTGGTCTTGCCGATGTTTTTGATGATGAACCGCTTCCTGATCGTTCGTGTTCTCCAGCTGTCCAGGATCCAGTTCGGTCTCCCCCTCCATGGGCTGAGAGCAACCTTCTGGGCACATAAACTTCTATGCCACAGCTTGAAGACAGCGATGGTGTGAGTTAGTATCAGTGCAAATAGTGCGCATCAGACGTTGAAGCAGATGTGCAACCTCCATGTCGACCTCTCCGCCAGCGGCGACCACCGGAACGCTTTAGAGACTATGTATTAACAATTGTTGACATAGGGTAAAATTTTAATCAATGCAGGTTTAACAAACTGGATGTCACAAATGATATAACAAAGAATACTATATAACAAACTAACCTGCTACTCATTACACCTGCCACCTAACCAACTGTTTTTGCAGTTTTGACTTTTTTTTTTTGTTGTCAAAGGGAGAAAAGATAGATATTTAGAAGTGCTTACTGAGAACGTGGTTGAAAAGATGAGGACATTTTGGCATTCACTTTGTCAAGTCAGATATTTCTAAATGACTTTCTTGAATTCTGAGTTGTGCATTGTCAGAACCGCGTAGTGTTTTGTCACTGCATCTCCATGTGTGCTTATTTTTTATTAATCGAAGGGAGAATGTTGTGGTCTGTAAAAGGCGAAGTGGTTAAGATAAATGCACGTGAATACGATGGTTCTTGGCACGCGTGGATAAACGCGCCAGCGCGTGGCGCCAGACTCTGCATCCCGTCAACCCCGTCTGGACAGGTGTTCTATCCTCGACAGGACAGTCCCACACGGGCTCAACCGTTCCTGGCCTGGACCACCGGCGGACGCATCCGCCCCGTACTGCCAGTGACACCGTGAGTGCACCCTACGGCCCCAATTTCTCTAAACTGAAGCCTCCGCTTTTTCTAAACCAAGCTTTGATCAAATGCACCTCTAGGTTGGTGAGAGCCGTCATCCCCAAGTACTACAGACGCTCCAGGCGCGCTCTCCTGTGGCTCTACAAAATGTTTTTCTTGTCAATTATTTAACTTTTAACTTCAATTAATTTCAGGCAAAAAGAAAAAAAAAATACAATAAAGTTCGCGCCGAATTTGAATGTAAAATGCAAAAAAAAGAAAGAAAAGAAAAAGTCAAGAAGCGACACAATTATAAAGCAAATAAGTTCAACCATTAATTTTTTTTTATTCAAGAACACAAATACATTTATTAGTTTATGCAGATAAGATGGCAAAACGGTATAAAATGCAAAATTTCTCTTCGTATTATTTTGTGTCGCGGAAGTCTTCTGGAGGTTCTCGGGGAAAAAGTGCGCCAAGAGGCTCCAGATCAATGCGCTGCGCTCAGTCGCTCAGTGGCAAAGAGGCTTGTGCTTGTGCGGTTGAATTTGTTTTCTGTTGTTTTGGACCGTCGAAGAACTTGCTGTAGGTCTTTGTGCAGTCGAGCGGTCGAGCCGCGGTTCGCGCAAGTCGTGCCTGAACCTGTTGATGAACTGCCAGGATTTGTGACTACCGCTGACATTACCAGCTTGCATTTCCGATTTCGGTGAGAATGATTCTACCGGTCTGTTTCCCATCTTGATAAGATATTAGGCGAAACTACGTGTTTGTTTTTGAGAACGCGCGTCTCTTGGAACAGGGTGATGTATTGTGTTCTTTACGCATAATTCGGCCCGAGTCACCCACACACGAACATCTGTTTGTGAAGATCATCGCGTAGTTGGAAGAGGGTATTGTCCTTCGCGGTTGCGCCACGATATCGCATTTGTGGTTCCCGCTAGTCTTCTTTGATCAACCTAGGCCTAGCGGTTTGCATGCCCCCAGTTGCTTTAATTCTCCTAATGAGCCTGCTACGGCGGAATTCGGAATTAGTTTCACTACCGCGTGTGCTGCCGCCTTCTTAGTTTCACCCGGAGTCGGTGTTCTGTTTTATTTTTAATTTTAATTCGGAACTGCATGGGAGTTGTGCCAAGACTTCGACGCACATGGCTTCGCAGGTTGACAAACAAGTGCATGCTTGTTTTTGGGCTTACGTCGGCGTTCGCATAGTGCCACGTGATTGTGCCACGCATTTTACAAAAACTTGAACAGTTCGAGGTCTACTTTCAATAAGGCGCTAAACACCTTTGCGGCTTTTCCTCGTTCTGGTGAAAACCCACTCCGTTCGGAGCTTGACACTCAGTCCAACCAAAAGCATGTTTTCTCACAAGGGTAGCGACTATCGGCGAACGTTCCCAACCCCCCTTAAACGGTCCATATTTTAATTTGACGGGTGTGGTAATCATTCAGAGATGTCCCGTGTTTGGCTGAGTGGAGTACTAAAACGAAATACCAAGAAACTCATTACTGACAAAATGTTCTCAAATTACATTTTGTCCTATAATCATTGTGCTCTCCTGTAGATTGCTAATCCTGTACCACTCGAGCTAGAGTACAGGCAGAACCCCTCTCACAATCACACACTTGGCTTTCATTGCATTGCCAAAACCGTTCATTGCATTGCCAAAACCGTTAAAAAGTTACTGCTACAGTATCATTGCTATTTTCTGGCAACTTAGATGCTTACAAATGCAAGTACAAGTTCTACGCATGAACAGTATAACTGCATTTCACCTTCTCTCGAGGATAGCAATCGCGGCAGGCATGAGCAGCTCATGCAGTTTAACTGCAGATATTGACGAAGGTTTGTACTTAAGCATTGCAGTCGTGGGGAGTAAATAACTAGGAATCATGTTCTTCTCACCCTTGAGAGCGTTTGCAAATGATTTCATTAACTAGAAAGAAATGGAGATTGCAGGTATAGAATGGAGTCTATTGGCCAACATGGGGTTCTTGAGCAACGCATAAGCACTAGTGATAAACAGTCTCGCAGTCTTTTTTTGCTGAGTATCTTCAACAATGATTTATATGCTGAGTGTACAGAAATTAGGACCTTAGTTGTTGAGGTGTTAGTGGAATGTTTGCACATGTATTTTGTATATGCTACCAAAAAATTTAGACTGCTCTTTCATGTTGAACCAGCAATTTGCATTTCTGAGCTGTGTTGCAGAGCTTCTGAAGAGAACCACTATAATTTGGTGCTTGGTTTACAAACGCCTGCCACCAGTGGTTTCTAGCACAAAAAAAAAGCTTAAAGGGGTAATATAAAGAACTTCAAAGATGTGTTTTACCAGTTCTCTGCAATTATTGATATGCAACGCCAGTAGTGGTGGCCGCAGTGCCCCATTGTTATGAGGCAGCCAATCTGTTCTTTTTGATGAACTCTGACACACACGAGGGATTGGGGAATCATTCATAGATAAATCTTTTGCTTTGAAACTAAACCAGAGGAGTGCAACTTCCTATACCGCCCATGGAACGCAAATTGGGAAACCCTGGGAGGCCGCAGCGCCATTTGAATCCCCTGGTGGCTGTACTAAAATCAACATGGCGGCACAGCGAAACCAAAACCGAAACTGCACGGCAGCGCCATTGTGCTTGGATGGATGGGCGGTAGCTTGCGCCACCTAGATTTAAAAAAATATATATATTGTAGATTTTTTTTTTTTTTTTTTTGCTTGGTTTGCACGTTGCTTTGCTAGGCTTCTGCTGCTTTGCGGCTGGTTTTCACATTTCAGTGCTGGGTAATGTGCGTTGAAACGCACACAAGCCAGCACTGAAAAGCGAGACCAGCAGCAAAGCAACGAAAGTGACACATACACAAAAAATATGCAATGCTTGTCCTTTTGCGTTTATTTTTATTCAAAAGACAGTAGAAAATACAGACGAAATTTCTCACTATTTTGCACACAAGAATCAAAGAAATGAACAACAAAACAGGATAAAACGTTAAGGTTACGTGTGACGAAGGTGATATGCGCCCATGCAAAACCACTTCGCTAAATTTACATAAAATCTCTAGGTTCGTGATCCTTTTCGAGCTTTTTGGCGTGTACTCACAAGCCTTACGCCATCCAGCCACAGGCGTGGAGCCTAGAAAAAAAAGTTGAATTGCTTAAATGGCCATTACGTGCCTGATAGGGTCATATGAAAACAGCGAGCATTTCCTGCGCCTCCCTTCGAAAAACGGTACTTGGAGTTCTACACTGCGACACTAAAAACTCTTGTCTCCTCTATTTTTCTTCTCCTTGACTTAAATGCCTCCACGCTAAATTGACAATCATTTCGAATTTGATTATATAAGTAAGCATATAAGTAAAGACCGACGACGGTGTCTTGCAACTAAAGGAAACTAATGGTGAATTCCACTCGTAGATCTGGAGCGCTTTCCAAAATCCGCGAGGGAGGCAAAATTCCGCTCCGTGGGACCCGCTCCGAATCGACGAGGGGAAGATAAACTTGCATTTTTGGAGAGACCTCCCCCACACCCCTTCTCCCTCCGCCGTGCAAAATGGCCGCTGCTTGAACTTGACCAGCCCACCAACGTCTCAGCCGGCTGATCTTTCCAACGACCAGTGACGATTGTCACTGCTTAGCTGCAGAAGTAACACGCGACACAGGCCGGGCGAAATTATACGTACCGCGGCGCCCATGTCACAAATAACGAAGACGTCCGCGTTCGGCACCGTCACATACCTTTCGGCCGCCTCGAAGCGGCGGGGCACGGACAGCGATTGCCAGCGTGGAGTTCAGATTTGTAGTACGACTTTAATAAACACAGAGGTAACAAACCATCACTTGCGCGGTCGTTGCCTAACCACTTCTTGCTTTATTTCACGGGAAAACGCCGACGGAATGCAGTGTAAAAAGGTAAACAATCACTGACTGCAGAATGAATAGGCCTAACCTTGCGTCTGCCTCCGGCTTTTCTGTCGTTCTTTTTCTCGTTCTTCCTCTCACGATCACAGACGTCAGCGCTTACGATTTGCCACGCTCCACATTCCCGGCCTTTTATCCCTGATCTACGCGAGGTAGAAGCGTTCGAGCCGTCACAATCCAGAGTAAACAACGACGCACCCGAACAGATCCAACTCCACGACCGGCCCGCCCGGCCCGCCGATCTCTCCAACCTCGCCGCGCATGCGCGCCGCCGATTTAGACGAAAGTCACGTGGGCCGCTCTGTCAGCTTTTGGAGAGATCCGTGAAATCCCGCAGAGCAAGTTCGGCGGAGTTTGGGGCGCTCCGTGGAGCGGGCGCTGCCAGAGATCTACGAGCGGAAGATGACCAACTTGAGCCAGATCTGCGAGCGGAATATGCGCGCTCCAAATGGAGCGCTTTTGGAGCGCTCGAGATCTGCGAGCGGAATTCACCATAAGCAATGAGGTCAAGAAAAACAGCTCAGCTCTTTGGTATTGAGTCTTCATCGAGAACCTGCATTCGTTTTTAATATTATCACTTAAATTTAGGAGTGCGTCACTGCTAAACGAAACTGGAAACCAGAGCGGATCGCTCCATCGCTCAGTTAATCGAAAAATATGTAGGCTCATTTTCACTCCTCGCGAACAGACGCGTGATTCGCTGACAATGCCAATAAACAGCTCACAGCAAAAAGATTCCCATCTTTTAAAGTGAGCATATGTGCTCGATCTTGATATGACAGAGAAGTCTCCAGTAATTTGACAATGACATATTTCTCGCTGCGAGTGACGAGCAACCCTGAACAATGATAGGATTTGGTTTTGTGATTGGAAACCATCGTAGCTATTGCCAAAATCGAACAATTAATACTCACTACCACTGGCGACAGTTAGGTTTTGTTGCAAACATCTAATCAGAAACTTAAGCAAGAGAAGACCAAAAGAGCGTACCGCACGTCCATTGGAAATCGAAAACATTGATATCCCGGCTTTCGACAGTCATTGTTTCCCCACTTGGCACATCAGGTGGTGTGGTGATGACGAAAATCCATGCTTGACCA